AGAAAGAAAAAAAGAAGGTTGGCTTACCAATCTCACCAGCTCCCTCCCCTTCAAGCTGGTGAAGGGAGCCTGGGCCATAGCTGCTACTCTCCCTTGCATAATCTCTCATCAGCGCAGATGGACACAACCCCCCTGCTGCTTTACCAAAAGCCTGATAGTGCCAACCACAACGTGTGGAGACATGTTGCTGCACAGATGCTCTCTGGCCTCCACCTGGTGCTCACGCTGGGACCCATCCTGGCCATCACCCTCTCAGCCACACGACCTCCCCTTGCACGTGCTGCAGCCAGGGATCATTGATCCGATCTGGCAAGCACCTCACGGAAAGGTGGCAAGAATAGAAAAAGGGTTCAATTGCCATGATGTTTGTTTAAATCTGCCCTCCTTTTCCCCCACTTAATTCTCAACAAGGTGGACAAAATCACACCAGTGTTGTTAACTTAGGTAGTGGTTACTCTGACTCTCCTCATCCTAAGGTAAGTATATGCCCTACATCGCTGCACATCCAACTTAACTGTGTATTGTACATCCACTGAAATGAATGCTTTGGTATTAAAAGGGTTGGTGGGAGCATTATTAGGAAGTTGATTTCCCAGAAGGGGATACGCCACTCCAAGCACATCTAAGAAGAGCACACGTGGATATTGGCACAGCTCAGACATGACTTGCAGAATGATTATGTTTTACATGTGAAAGTATGAAGTCCCATTTCAGTCACGTAACAACAAGCACTTACATATTACAGACGGTAGAAAGCACGGTAGTCGTCAGACACTTCCACACTCAACAAAAACACAGCAAAAAGAAATTGCCATTGCAGGCTGGGAATTTGGCTGATCTGACATCTACTCCATCACTGTCTTGACTCAGAGAAAAAGTCACGCTCCTACGTCAGGAGACCTGCAGGCTGCAGTATCTGCTTAAACAGGACTCAAAAACACTGGATGGGACTGGAGGTTTGTGTGAAATTGGGCTATTGTTCTGCTCATTAGTTACAGCTGTTTGCATTCAAACAGTTGGGGAGGAACAGTATTTAAAATCTGGCTATCGTAGCCAAAACATCACTGCAGAAATGAAAAGCAATGCTTTATTCCATTGCCTGAAATCCCAGCTTTTTTATAAAAACACAATATAGTTCCTTAAATAAAGAGAAAAAAAAAAAAAACAAAAAAACCCCACAGCCTGTGAAAGCCCCTGCAGGGATGCGTAGAGGGGGGGGAAGGGGGGGATTTTTTTTGGTTTTTTTTTTTTTCCCCCCCAAAAAAAATCCAAATTTGCAAAAAACAAAGGTATGAAGGGGGAAAAAAAAAAAAAAAAAAAAAAAAAGACAAAATACCCCCAGCCTGTGAAAGCCCCTGCAGGGATGCGTAGAGGGTGTGGAAGGAGGAGACAGCAGGAAAGAGCACTTTTACTGCAATGCCCCATCTCCTTGACTCTCACTGGGCTGACTCCCTGACCTGAGCAGAGGCACTCCGCGTTGCATGCCAGTGTCTGCAGGAAGAATCAGGCCCTCTTAATTCCTTACCTGGCAGCTCTAGAAACGACACAAACGCTTCGGGAAGCAGTAAGCCCAGTCTTGGCTCGCGAGTCATAAACCTAAAAACTGCCAAGAGACACGCACACACACAAATATGTTGGCTGCAGAGTACTGCTGGCTAACCCTGCTTTTCAAAATGAGTTTGAATAAATAAAAATGAGAGGAAAGAAGCAAAGCCGTAGAAGAAAACAAACTGCCCCACTTCCGCACAATATTTCCATGAAGCTCATCCTTTCAGCAGCCGTGGCCACCAACTCGGAGCCATTTTCACCCAAGGGAATGACTCAGAGACCAGCCTATTGCCACACGCACCCAAATTTAATAATTTTCATGTGCTCTTTGCTTAGTCCCCTCTGCTTACCAACAAAAGAAAATATCTTTAAGCTCTTTCGTTCCCTGAAGAGTTCGTAAACTAAATGCTGGGAAGAAAAATTCTGGAAAGACTCAATGGGATAAGAGCGATGCAAGATGCACTGCTGTAGCAGAAGTACCAAACACACGTTAAGGCTGTGAAGCCACGTGGTTTTCATTTGGGATGTGTGGGATGAACACATAGGCTTGCTTCCTTTACAACATAAGCACAACAAAGGGAGGCTTTGTTTCAAAGCCAAGGGGCAGCCTCTCCGCACACTTGAAGGCTAAGTTACAACGTAATGGGAACTGTGAGTCACAGCTGTGGGGCCCCTGCTCACAGGCACAAAAATCCCCTCTGCTGCAGCAGGCAAAGGAGCTCAGCTTAGCAAGGAGCAAAGGCAGCTTCCAGTTCCGCATGCAGCAAATACACGGCTGAGCTGAGAGCACGTGTCATGGATGACTTACGATGCAAACACGTCCCCCTTTCAGCTGACGTTTCTTCCTGTAACTCCTTCAGAGCTCGAGATCATAACCCTGCACTCGTTCCAAGAGCATGAAGCACCTATGGCTCAGCAGGGAGGCGGGATGGGCATCAGCCAAGCACCTTCAGACCATCTTTTGACTTTGGCTGCAGAAGAGTGTGGCCACCATGCTTAAACTGAGCATAGCCAGCTCGCCAGGTAGGACCGCGGTAGAGCTCTATGCCCTTAAGTCACCTAGCATGCCAGATAATTTCTGTCACTGTGTGTTACAGTAGAGGAGGGTCAGCTGATGGATTCCAGCTACCCAAAATACAGACACCCATCTTATCCTTGCCCCTACTAGCCTGGGAGAAAAAGATAAGGGTCTTCTTCAATTATCATGAATGGGTTGCAATCTGCAGTGCCGAAGTGGCTGTGCTGCAGAAAAATCAAAATGTTTTCTCTCACATTTCCAACAGTCCCAAGGTATTTGGCTGCTAAATCTCCAGAGGCCTTTAGAAATCAAACTCTCATCTGAAACCAGTGGCAGTCAGGTAACTGAATATCCAAGAGGAAATGGCTTAGCATCTAAGCATTTTGGGAGCAGATGCACATGCAAGCACAAGGCCCTCTGGGAAGCACCATACCGTGGACATCAAGAGTCACAGTTTAAGCCTGAGAACATCTTAGCTCCATCTCTGGTATGTATTAATATTCCTCAAGAGCTTAAAAAAATAGGGAAGAGTCTGAAAAAGCAATATAGTCTCCCCCCTCTGTCTACATGCATGGCCTACACTGCGCCTGGATGGTTTCCCACCTGGTGCATCCTGGATGGTCTCTGTCTACTTTGTTCTAAAAAGCTTCCAGCAAATCTCTCTCTCCACCTCCCAAGGCAGTCTAGACTACTGCTTAACTACCTCTACCTGCAGGGAAGTCTCCTTTGCTTTCTCCAAAACAAGCTGTAAGCCCTGCTGGGATTCCAGCACATACAGACAGTATCTTGTCTTTGGGAGCTACTTCCCTCCCTGCAGGCAGCGTGGGAACCATTTGCCCCCACTCCTCATCAGGTGCTCACTGAGCATCACTAAATCCTTTGCAATTTGGAAGAACTGAAAGCAAGGCACTCTGAAGCTGATTTTCATTTTCTTCATTTGGGTTTGACCGCAAACTCTACCTTTTCAATTGGCAGTGCCCATGATTCCTTGATGCAACCCAAAGATGCAGTTGGTTACACAGGCAGTTCAGCTGACACCGTATAGTTAATGTCACTTCTTGCTTAGGCACAAGAACCTTCTCTATGTGCTCTTCCCCCTGGTTTCGAAAGCAAAGGAACAGTGCATTTTCCTTTGCCAGGCAACTGAAATAACCAATATGAATTGGAGACTGTGCCTAACAGGGCTTGAATTCTGCAACAGTTGGCCTCACTGGTGCTCATCCTTGCCAACACCACGCTCGGTTTTTCCAAGCCACATGCATGGCAGTGGGGTGCATCAGATGTTTTCCCTGTAAATGCTGAAAAAGCATCTCTGCCTTGAGGCAAATATCACTGATATAAATAATGTGCTAGATCAGCCAGAAAAACCTGCCTCTGGAAGAGGGATAATAATGAAAGATGGTGCAGGTAAAGGAAAAAGAGAAAGAGCTTCATTTACACACAGAAGGATGGCAAGGGGCCAGCTCTCACAGCTTTGATCAGGGCTGGCTGGAGGAACATGCCAGGGAACGCTGTGAGCTGAGCTTTGCTAGAGCAGAGCAGCCGTTTGAACTGGCTGGGATGGGAAGAGGGGGACAGACACCACCCAACACAGATCCAGAATAAATGAGAAAAAGAAAAAAAAATAAATCACATGGAGTACATGAAGTAACAGGTACTCAGAGCTGTAGCTGGACACTGTGGCAGCCAGGACTGCTGCTCTGGCAGCTCCCTCTGCCCTCAGCTCTCATTCTTCCCTTCCCACCACTGCTACCTGCAGAGCCTCCTGTCACACGCTTGCAGAGTGGCACTGCCAGGCGTCTGGCATCATTTCACCCGGCACTTGTACTTTCAGCAGGTTTCTCAGGGGTTTTTGTACAAACATGAAAACTCTACATATTGCCAACTTGTAAAAGCCACTATTTCCCTTCAATCCGGCTGCCTCTGCTGTCGCCTCTGATCATCAGGAGGTTGCCCAGGCACCTCCAGGCCTTCACTCTCCCTCTAACACCTGGAAGAGGGGGGATCTAGTGCTTTCCTAGTCTGGGTAAAGTACCTCTGGCAAGATCTCCTGCATAGCAGCAAATGCAGCAGTAGCTGCTGTCAGCAAAGCTTGGACCTGTTGGTTCCCTTCTGCCATCACTCCCTGACTAGACCCCAACTGTACCAAGCAGTCAGATAAAAGCCATTTTATACTGAATGCCAAAAGAGAGGCTTTTAACACTGATCTTCTAAACAGAAGCCATTTCCAAATTAAACCTTCACAATATTGCTACTTTTGCTTTGCAAGTGTTGTCTGACCCTCGCTGCTGGAAGCGTTTACTAAAATATGAGCCACACCACTTTCCTTCCGGCGTTCCTGCTGCAAGGCTCAAGATCTCCCAGTGAGCACCCATCAAGAGGCTTTTATGATCACATCAAATCTGGAAGGAATAATGACCCCCGAAGCACTTACCTGCTACACAACTTTGCAGGTGCTCATTAAACTTCACATTACTGCTACCACCGTGATGCGGAGAAGACCGTATGCAGTCACGCACTGCTGAAGCACAGCCAGGAAGTCTGCAAAACACAAAAAGAACGAATGAGGAAGTTCAAGGCCAAAGATGGGTACCTAATGCAGTTATCTAAATTAGGGATTGATTAAAAGAGAGATTAACCCTCCCCCTTACCTAATAAAATGATCATAAAAGCTCAAGAGACCAGAAATAACCAGCTTTGAAGTGATCAGGGAAGAGTTAAAAATGTTGCTTCTCCCATGGGAAAGCGTGTAAATTGCACTGGGGGTCTGTCAGCGATGCAGACCTACCAGCAAGCGAGGACCTCCCTCCTCTCACTCCATCCTCATCCACCAGCCCTCTCCTTTTAAAATGGATTACGGTCAAATTAGCAGCTGCGTAAATGCAAGGGCTGGGACAGTTTTGGCTGGGACAGTTTTGTCTGGGATGGCTTTGTCTCAGAAAAGGCATCCAGCTGCTGTAAGCAGCTTGCAAGGTAGATATGCTTGTTTGGGAAGCTGGGTTCAGAGAGCCACTGTGAGAAACAGAAAACGCAGGAGAAGAGGCAGGAAATAAGTTTAAGAGAATACAGGAAGATGCAAAACACAACCGCAAAAGATAAACTACCATATTCTAGAAGAGAGAAGTTGAGAAATTTTAAGTGAAACAGGAAACAAAGCGAAGCCCTCCGAGGCGAAGCCGGAGTGGATGGGCCTGACAAGCTGGCTGCAGGCGGCCAAAGGAGACCTTACCCGGCTGCGCACAAGCAGGCGGGGGAGCAGGAAGCCACTGCCCTCCTTACCAGCCATGATAGCCACTTCAGACCCTCTGCCTCAATCCAAAGGATGATGAAATCATGAACAGCCCTTCCGTGGGCTGAGCTGGGCTTTGGATCTGGGTCCTTTACGGGCTCGGTAAGGGGTCGACCCGTCCTTGCTCTCCTGAACCCCTTCACTTCAGCAGCCGTTGGGGAGGGGATGGCCCAGCCCCCCCTCCTCCCACGTACCTGCTCTGACCAAACCATCTGTACAGTTTCACTTCTCCGTTTCCGTCTTCAACTGCGAGGCCAAATTGGGCAAAGGGGCTCTGCCCTGCAGGGCTGCTTGTGCCGCTGCTCAACCAGCGCCACAACGCTACCAGCAGCAGCACAGGCTGCCCAGCACAGGAGTGAGACACCCCAGTCCCAAAAGGGCTGGATCCAGACTGTAATATCCTAGTGGATGTTTGCTGGCCCTCAGGGCTTGCACTGCCTGATCGCGTGGTGGCTCAGGGCCAGGTAGGTACAGCAGGCGCTTCTGCCTGGAGGGAAGGAGCCATGAAATGCCGTGCAGGAACTGCTGCTGCGGGACCTACGCGCTCTCACTTGTTAAAATAATTTTTAAATGTCAAAAGTCAGAGTTTAAGTCAGGGTCTCCCTCCACTGTATGTGTATAGATGTTGGAGAGACCTTGACTGAACCTTAGGGGACGGTCTAAGGTCACTACAAGAAGGTCCCTCCCAGTAGCGGGTGCTGCGCTGCATCTTCACACGCTGGCACAAACCTTCTCTCACTCCCTCGGAGGCAGTCTGAGCAACACAGCAGTGTTTGTTGTGGGTCAGCCCTATACAAGAACCTCCTCTCCACGCCAGAAATCAGACCTGCCCCCGCTCCACTGAAGCTGAGCAGCTACTCTGGCCTTCAGGTCATGGCATAAAAGCTGTTTGTTTTGCCGAGCCGCCGGTCAAGGTCGGCTCAGCCAACTTCGCATGGCCCACATGTGCATGGAAATCAAGACAAGCTAAAAAAATCCAAACCAAATAAGAACCCTGTTGCAGCTGTACCCCGGACCACTCTCCATCCCTCAAGCTGCTTGAAGCTTGGCTACCTGCCTCCCTTCCTATTGCCCATGCTGAGGGGTGAACGGGCAAGAGGTTTTGCTTACACAGCTGAGCCCACATCCCTCCAAAACCTGGAATTCATGGTCAGGCACACGACGATGCCGCACAGCGCACACCCTGGCCACACTCCCTCCTTCCCTCCCTCCTGAAAACCAGAGTCTCTACCTCTCTCTGCCACTCAGCAATTATATGTGCTGATGGAAAGTATGCTGCCTGGCAGCAAACCTGCTTTTTCCCAGTGTAAATGGATTATAATAGCACTTGGGAGAGAAAAAGCTGGCCCACCCAACAGCCCATTTTAAAGGGGATCTGAGGGAGCAAGCCAGGAGCCTTTTTTCCAGCTCCCTTCTCCATTGCACCATTGCTACGGATGGTAATTGCCATTGCAATTCTGCAGAGCAGAGCCTGCAGGACAGGACAGGACAGGACAGCAAGGAGACTCATGCAGACTCATCTTTATCAGTGCTTCTCAGAAAACTGCTTCTTAATGTTCATCTTGTTGACAGAGGCTGAATTTAGGTTAAATTTTGCCAGGACAGTTGTTTTTAGAGGGGATGCAGATGTGGCAGGAGAAAGAATACAACTAGAAAAATAAACCACCCCTTTTGCTGTGTACCTGTTGCACTCAGGGAACTGATTTAAGCTATTGTCAAACTAAAAAAAAAAAATAGCACGCCACAATGCAATCCACTAAGTGCATTTCCTGATCATTAAATTATTTGCAAGGCGAGCTCCAAGGTTCTGAAACAAAAGTCAACAGGTAAACAGTCGCAAAAGCGAGCCTAAAATTGTCCTTATGAAAACCATATAGTTTCTGCTTAAAAAACAAACTCAAAAATTAGTTAGATCTGCTCATGGAACACCAGTGTTAGATTTCTGTGGGTCAGATTCCCTCCCCCTGTTACTCATTGCCACGTAAGGAGGATCACAATCACCGGCATCCCTCTGAGACCGCCATGCAGCAGAGGCACACGGGAGCCCTTATTGCCGTGGAGAGAACCAACAAAAACCAAAAGGGGAGCAGGACTTGCAGCTTTGGCAGCGCCAGTCATCAGAATGGGCCTGAAACAATCACTTGGGAAAAGCAAAGTCCTCCAGTTCCTGACCAGGGCTATTTAGTCTGACTTGGGGCAGGGTGGAGGAGTAGGAAAGAAAAGAAAAAAAAAAAAAAAAAAAAGGGGCTGTTCTTCATATATTGTAATGCTCCAAGCAGTAAAAGAGGAAGACAGGTGGGGAGGGTCCAACACCTGAGCTCTTGATCAGCAGGTACAATGCCTTTGGTATGCACAGGTCGCTTCTCCCTTGCAGATGCTGCTGGTGCAAACACAGATCACTGCATTCTGCACACCTGAGCCATGCAAGAAAGGTGTCATCTACTAGCTGGGAGGCAAGCAGCCCTCAGGGCTGACCCCAGGCCTGACGCTGGCTCTCTGACCTTTGGCAAATCAATTCACCTCTCCACATCCGTGGCAATCATACTAAATATGTGCATTTCCCACCGGGGAGCAGCGTGAAGCGTCTATTGTGCTGAAAACAAGATAAAAGAGGCGGCTTTAAGTTTCCATTCCTAATTTCCATGCTTTGCTTTTCCTCAAGGTCTGAAGAAACCCCTCTCAAGTATATTAAACTGGGACCAGCAGGTTTTAAAAGCAGATGTTTATGAAGGTAGACAGAGTAATTCAAGAGAATTACTTGAGTCAGAGCTGCAGAAGAGCATTACCATCCCCACCAAACCAAACTCAAAAACGTCACCAACCAACCGTGCCACACTACAGCTGCTCTCCTGCCCAAATGCTGCTGCCTGGCAGCTCAGGTCCTTGCCTGGCAGCTCAGGTCAAACGCTCACGCCTGAAGGAGACGTGCTGGGTTTGGGCCTATAGCACTCATTAAAAGCACATTAATAGTAATGTTTGCTTAGAGACGCTGCTGGAACTCATCTTGCCTGACCACAAAACAAACACCAATAGCAACATGTCCTATTTTCCTGAAGGATTTGATAAGGCAGTTCCCAAGAGAACCGCTTCAGTGGGAGATTGCCAAGCTGAAGATGCAAAGGCCACTGAGGCTCCGGTTCTGTGTGTCAGTTTTGCAGCCCACAACTTCCAGTATCCCAGTCCTGACTCATTCCAATTTGAGCTACAAATACCTACTGGCCATCTTCAAAAAGATGCCCGCACACATGAACAGGAGCTCTACTAACACCATCGCTCCTTCTCTCTGTACTCATCAGAGAGATGTGCTGGGTCTCGGAAGAAAGGGAAAAAAGTTTTGTAGCAAGCTAAGCCCGAGCCACCTACTACCGAACACGCAAAGCTCAATGATGCGTTTTGCATGGTCTGGACATGCCCGAGATCACCACTGCCCCTGCGGGCCGCCCGCCTGCGGGGCCT